GGCAATTCTTCCAGTTTATAAGTGTTATCTTTCTTGCAATTATCGTTAGCGCGACCATTATTGCTGTCGTTACTACTATTTTGTACGAATGGTTGTAAAATACCATTTATAAGACTTTGCCTCAATTGCAATAAAGAGAGATGATCATTTGGTGCTCGCTAAATGAGAAGAGTATTTACAATTAATGTTCCGCAAATGATTTCTATGGCCAGTTTCTTATACCAAATGAGTGACTTTCTAAGAGAATTGTAATAACTTGAAAGCTGATCTGATATGTCAACACCTTGTTTTACTGGCGATGGTTTTACTTTATCTGTACCGTTTCTTTTTTTCCCACAGTTTACCATTTTATCATCATGAAAGGTAGACAAAATGAGTGCGTCCCTTTGATCTCGCCATTTTAGAACAGTAATATTCCCTTTTTGCCGTGAGAATATTTGGCCTTTCGCCAAATTTTTGCTAATAACTTCATGTGGTAAGCCAGATCTGTTTTTTCGGAGTATCTCAAGTAGATGTTGTAACGTACAAAGTTACGTTGACTACCTAGGGTAGTGCCGCTAGCTACTGCGGAGGAAGGGGTGGTCCGCTAAAGTTTTATTCTTATAAGGGCACCAGGTAAGTTTCCCAGCACATCCAGAATACGTCCAGTAACCTACCAACTATATGTTCAGAAATCCCTTTTACGACGCTCCTGCTGAGTGAAGTGAATTTGTTAGAGACCACAGAATCCCATGCCCTGCATAGACATTTTTTAATATATCGGTAACCGCCATGGCAATCACAACACGTGCCTTAAAATAAACAATATAATTTGTATGTATTTGTATCCGTTTAATGTTTTTAAATAAAATAAGTTATTTGTTCGAAATTAAAAGTTTTAATCGTAACCAACTCAACATATGGTCCTTCGAGCCGGATATAGTTAAATTCAGGATGTGGACCAGGCAACTTATCTCCTACAAAATGGCGTCTAGTTTGAATTATCGGCTTTAAATCCGGTCGAGATGTCATCAACAGAGTGGTTATTTTAAAGACAGCTAATAGGATTATCTCCAGAGCTATTACTCGTGTATGTCCCTTACCCGTTTAGGAATCCATTGAAAGTGAAGACTTTCAAGGCGGGGGGCATGTTCAGAAACCCCTTTTACGACGCTCCTGCTGAGTAAAGTGAAAGTTTTAATTAGTATACAGTGCTTCTTAAAAGTCCTCTCCCCCCTCTTTTCTTTTGAACGGTGGTACTTAGACTGATGAAATTTGGAGGGCAAAAATAAACTATTGCAAGCTTGTCTACTAGTGGTAATAGGTGACGTAATAGGCATCGATGACGTCACCAGGCAACTGAAACCAATAATAATAAATGGGACCTTATGGCAAGTGACATCTCGTTTGAAAGGTATTTGGAATACCTATTTAGTCATACTATTATTTTTGGATTTACGATGTTTTTTTTTAATATATTAGTTTCATTTGCCTGGTGACGTCACCGATAGTGACGTCACATATTACTTCACCTTTTACCACTAGTATAAATGCTTACAATAGTTTATCTCCACCCTCCAAATTTCATCAGTCTAAGTATCACCGTTCAAAAGAAAAGAGGGGGAGAGGACTTTTGAGAAGCACTGTATAGCGATTAAAGGCCTCGAAATGGCGAAATTCTACAATATACGAAAAAAAACAAGACAATCAGTACTGGTATTGATAACAAAAAAAGAATCAATGGAATATTTTACGATCCAAAGAAACTGCTCGACTGAACCTCGCAAAAAAAAAACTTTAACGAATAAAATCCAAATACATACCTAAATTTCAACGGTACAAAAGTTGAAAAATCCCCCAAAGGGCTGAACACAAATTTTTCAAAAATATCACTTGACCACAAGATTGTTTTCCAAAATGTCCCCCGAACATATGGTTGGCCCGTTGGCCCCTACCACTATGTCAGTTGACTTCACTTCCTGATATTATAAATTCAAAAATTTTGGAAATATTTACCATCAAAAGATTTATTCTTTGGTTATAATTTAAACGTTGATGAATAACATTTACTCTACCATAGTAATAACTTGCCATGAACCCTACAAATACAATATTTTTACCACAAATATCCTTAATGCGGACCAAGAATTTGTCCAAATAAATTTGGCAACATCGTGCAAGGGACATCCGAACCTACGAGCCATGCAAAATTCAAAATGTTACATTAGAGGTGGAAAAATCTAATTTAAACTGTTACAATGTGTCTTTCTGTCATACAAGTATTCTGCTAATTTTACACTAGTGTAATAGTTGTCTGTTATTATCAATGATCCTTCCTTTAACAGAGGTGCAACTAGCTCTATCACTGTGCTTCCTGGAAAACGAAGGTCATCAATTCTGACTCCTTACCCAACGTAAATTTTAATGTCCCAAGAATATCCGTTTGGGGTGCACACTTTATACAATTTTATGCCATATCGGTGAGCTTTAGAAGGATTGTATTGGCGGAATTTCAGACGCCCACGGAAAGGCCCCATTGTCTCATCTACAACCACCGTGTCATTGGGAGAAAAAATAGCTTTCATATCTTTAGCTCTATCTATAGCTTTATCATAGCTCCAATATTGGTTTTATTTTATCTAGTCTGCTGGTAGATGAAATAGTGTTGTTCTTAAAATGCCAGCATTTTAACAGCAATGCAAATCGATTATATCTGATTGGGATTTTATGAAATATTTCGTGGTAATATATTGGGTCAGTTATCCAGTAACACTTGATCGTTGGAAAATTTATGTCCCATAAGCATAACGACACCTGAAACAATAACAAAACTTAGGCTAAGTCTTGCTTGACCGAGATAACAGAGATATGTGATGAGCTGATTAAGGTCATGTTGGCAAAAGAGAGATAGGAAACAATAAATGTGCTTTTGTAGCGATAAAATTGCAATCTTATTTCCTTGTTTTTAAATTGGGGGAACAAAAATGACTGTTTCAGCAATGTATTAAGGTTTCAGAAGTGTTCTTATCCCTCTTTTGGAAGTCTTGGAGTCTTAATCAACCCATATGATGAATCTGTCCGATTTTAAATAAAAATAAAAAGTGTGTAATTTTTAAAATAGGAGAGAGTTTAGATAAAACTATATATTTTTTATAAACAGCTCTGTTATGTCAATTTAATTTTACTGTTGATGCACAAAAAGCATACATGTTTTTATAGAATAAATGTTAAAATAAATTAAATGAATTAAATAAAAATTAAACTTACCAAGAAATATTCCATTTCAGCTGCATCTGTATCATGCCATCTAGATATTCTTGCTAATCGAACGTGCCTTTTTTTCTCACATATCTGACGTACGTATATATTGGTTTGTTCCACCATGATGTTTATCACTTCGTCAGTCAAAAACAACTTGAATATCTCCAAGGGAGTAATTTTGTATTAGCTACCAATATCCCACTGGTTCCAATAAACTCAAATTTCTTGATATCTAAGACACAATTAGACCACTCTAACCCATCTTCTTGATCATCTTCATAATCGTGAATTTCATCGACATCGTTTTGGTGGTCCGTGTCGTCAAGATCAACCAAATTATCGAGGTCGTCTGCTACGCTACTATTTCCGATTCCACCAGGATAGTCAGTATCTTTGATACTGTCGTCGGAGACGAAATCTACTTCTGATGTAGAGCTAATGTCTGATAAATGCTAAGCATAATATTCTAAATCTGTTTTAGTAAATTTTTTTTCTACACCCGTATTATAATAATGCACTTATATGCCCATAATCCGTTTCATAATGATACCCATTATGATACAGATTTTTCATTACGATACAGATTTTTCATTACGATACAGATTTTTCATTACGATACAGATTTTTCATTACGATACAGATTTTTAATCAATAGAAACCTACAATTTTTCAATCAAACATGCTGTTTGACGTTTGTCCTAGGTTCCTATGTATTTGTTTTAGTTGTCAAAACGTATTAAATTTTGGTAGATAACTGAACTTCGTTAATTATAATATTAAAATGTCTGATATCAGCGATATAGAAGACTCCTCCACACATATGGGAGAAAGCAGAAAATACAGTACAAAATATTTTGCCGCAAAAATCTAGGGAAATACCAATACCCGAAGTAATACCATTAATTACAATTTTGTAGAATTTTTTATAGAAATACACGAGTAATTATTGTTATTGTGTTCAATACCAATATGAATATAATATTTATAGTTCTTGATTATTTATCGGGTGTAGAAAAAATAGCGTATGCAACTCTCATGTAATGGTTATTAATACACTCGCATAAACCATACGAAACTCGCCTTTGGCTCGTTTCGTATCCCGGTTAATGCTCGTGTATTAATAACCATCATTACATGATCGTTGCATAATATACTATTGTAAAACAAATACACATGTGCTTAAAAAACTTTAAGGTTATGTACGAGCCACATGTGGTGCATAGAACGTTATCCTTAAAACAAAATTATACTATAACGTTCTATGACCCACATATGGGGCACAATATTTTAAGTGGGGGACGCCTGGGTTAAGAAAATATTTTTTGCATAGCGGACTGTGAACGTGTTAAGCACTGCTTGTATTCAAATTTTTAAAGCAGAATTCATGTTGTTAAAACTTTTATGGTTAAATTTGACACTTTTCCTATAGAAACAATTAAGACAGCCCAATAGGGACTTCTTAGATAAGTAATTAATTTGTAAGATTTTTAGATTAAAATTGTAGGTTAGTCAGTAATGACTAGTAACAATACTCTAACAAAAAAAAAATTTGACACTCAAAAATTAAAATTTTTATGCCGTAGGTAATCAACATTAATATAGACCATCCAGTTTTTTTTTTTATTTTCAAGTTAGAAAGTATTTTGTGGAAAATATACTGCTCCAAAGTAACGATACTGAGATAACGAACCACCTTTAGTAAGACTGATTTAGATTTAATATACCGAGTGCGAAGCAAAGGATGAAAAATCCCGAGCAAAAAATAAATACCAATCTTATCGCAATAAAGTATAAACCGAGAATTCTGTAGGTGTATGTTCTCAGTTTAGGCAGATTTAACCGGCAAGTGTTTATACTTTCTAATAGGTACAACAATATAAAAACCATGTCTGACTCTGAAGATGTGACGTTTAAATGGATAGATGCCGATGCTGACGCGAATTTTAAGCTTGGAGAAGGTTCTGCTGGTGCGAAATATCGTAAGTAAAAAACTATTAATAACTATTGATAAAAACAGATTTTAATATGATGCACTAATAAATACGTCTAAAAGTTTTAAAACGTTTGAATAACATGCCTTCATTGGTTTTGGTATATCTAGGTATATTTTTAACGTACTAAAACGGTATTACGTGAAAAATAGGAATTCACAAATTCAACTGGATACTGGGATCAAATGGTTCAGTAGTTGATTACAGATCGAGATCGAAGAAGTTGACTGGTTTGAATCCACTTCACAGAGTATTAACTAAGGGGTAATAGAAATTCACTTTACAACAATTTACTTTATAAAAAAATAATTAATACCTAGTTGAAAAGCGAATAATGAATAGTGAATGGCTAGGATCTAGAATATTTATATTATAAACTCGTTTTGTCCACTCATCCGAATATCTTACATCAGCAAATACGAAAAACGTAATAATTGTATAGGTACCCAAATGTATTATAGGGAGCGTCCAGTAAATATATGTAATGAGTAACTAATAAAATAAATACTGGAATCTAACAAGAACTAGAGCAAATATACAGAGAGGAAAGTCTAACTGGAACAAATTCTTGATAAATAAAGGTTTGTCGCAAAATTCCTGAAACACGTAAATTTTTATTTTCAATGGGGCATATTACAAAGAGAGATTTGTTTGTCTTTTTAATTATCTGGGGGTTGCAGACACCCCAAGCTTTTTTTTAATGGAAGGGTCGATTGATTTATTCTTTATTTGAAAGCTTTTTCAATTAAAAATACAATTACATTTTTTTTGTTACTTTTTATAAGCAATGTGTCGGAAAAAAATGAAATAAGAAAATATTTACTGAAATTAGTTAAATGTATAGGTACATTTTTTCTTACTTGATAAGCCCAATAAAAAACCTGTTCGACAATTTTTTGGTCAATTGAACTGAATCTGATTGATTTGTGAGTACTTGTTTAAATTTCAATGTGTAAATTAAAAACGAAAAATAATAAAATTCCCTATTTAACCGAGACGCATCGTATCGAAATTTTAATGATGATCGGATTTGGGGACAGAAGTCGAACACAGGCTGAAGTCACTCGTTTGTTTACGGACGTTCATCCAGAAGCCTTGTTGAACATATTGTTGGAAGTTGAAAAAAATCCTGTGACTCCAGCTAGGCAAATAGCTCGCGTTCATGGTGTTAGTCACACAAATGTTTTAAAAATTCTTATAGAAGTCAAAAAGATGCAAAACCTGCACGAGCCTAACTAAGATGATCCTGATGGTAGACTCGAATTTTGCGAACGAATTGAGTTTTATCAAACACATAAGGTCCTTTCACCACCCCTTTCGCCACCAATGTTAAATAAAAAATATTAAATTATGACTAAACTTTATTTTTTTTCTAATAGTTGAAGTCCTTATTTATCTAATGGTGAACTTTTCACTATACCTTACCGTGCAAATTTTTGAGAATTTTTTTTTTAAATGTGAGTATTTGTACAGTGTCTTACGAGAAAGTAAGACCTCAACAACAATTTTCGAATTATACTATTATTTATTGATTAGATGGAGTAGAAAAAAAAATAAAAATAAGGTTTTTGAAATATTTAGGTTTTGTTTTTTACAATAAAATATATAGGTTACCGTGGAATTTATTGAGAAATTAATATTAAAAAAAAAATTTCAGGTAACCTAGTTGAAAATTTTTTGTTATTTTTTAATATTAATTTCTCAATAAATTCCACGGTAACCTATATATTTTATTGTAAAAAACAAAACCTAAATATTTTAAAAACCTTATTTTTAATTTTTTTTACTCCATCTAATCAATAAACAATAGTATACCTTATTATAATTCGAAAATTGTTGTTGAAGTCTTACTTTCTCGTAAGACACTGTACAAATACTCACATTTAAAAAAAAAATTTAAATTTGCACGGTAAGGTTTAGTTAAAAGTTCACTATTAGATAAATAAGGACTTCAACTATTAGAAAAAAAATTAATTTTAGTCATAATCTAATACTTTTTATTTAACATTGGTGGCGAAAGGACCTCCTTAAATAAATTTCTCCTTTTTTATGGCTGAAATTATTTTATATGTATCAAATGTCTTTACTATATTGTCAATATTAGTAATTTCTTTAATTTCATAATTTTGGTTTATCTTTAATGTCATTTAAAAAAAATTTAACAACAGAACGTACAAAATTAATGGGTTTCTTATGTTACTGGTATTGTTATAATAGTATATTATTCAATAAGTGTATAATGTTGACCATATTACACAAGTGTTGTAAATATTCGAGTGTAATATGGTCCATTATACACGAATTGAACACTATACTTTATCTACAACTGAATACCGGGGCTCAACGAAAACGAAAAGGGGATTTTTAGAAAAAATTCTTTGAAGTTGTTATAAATAGAATTGACAAGATTGTTCACAATTAAAAGACTTTTCAAATGAGGAGTATTTAAGCCACCGTGTGAAATAAAACGCCAATTTATACAACTCGTTTAGAGTTATTTATTGATGTAATTAATAGTAACATTACCATTTGAAATATTAATAGCTCCGGTAATATCATTGAGATTATTGTTTTTTAAAGAAAAATTAGTGTTGTTATTGATGAGTACAGAATCATGACAATCACTGTCAGAAGATGATGGATTATTAAGACCAACACAATTTTTATTATTGATTTGACTTAAAATTGCTTGAGCTGTTTCTATTTTGTTCTTTTTTGAATTGCCGATGTACCCTTCTGCTGTGGAGGCGGATTTCCAGCCTCCATGGCTTTTTAATGTTGTCATTGAAGCTCCAGAATCAGCAACCAATGTTGCATATGAACGCCTGAGGAAATGGCCAGTATATCTCTCAGGGTTTGATAATTGTAAAAACGTAGCAATTTGCTTTCCCACTGCGCTAAACTTGTTTATTCCTATCACATGTTTGTACACTTTCCTTTTTGGAAATTAAGAAAAAATCTTGTGGTGCATTTTCTGGCCGGGGGTCTATATATTTTTTAACGATTTTGAAAAAATTATCCACAATTGTGAAATTCCTTGGAACTTTGGTTTTTGTGTGTTCTTTAATTTACAGGATCGGCAAGCACCCATGACCCCCATAATCAAGGCAACCTTAAAAAAATATGTAGATTAAGTTAAAGAATTTTGATTTTCGACTCGAGTTTTTACCTTTGTTCCAAGATATTTAAAATCTGGGGCTTCCTTTATAAACCTCTCAATTTGTTCACCAGTCAGAGCTTCAGATTTCTTAGGTTCGTAATTTTCGGATCGTCTTTTTAGCAAAGCACGTAAGCTCGGATATTTATCAATGTCGACATTGTGCTTGATGTTTAACATGCTTTTTAGCATGAAATAGTTTGTCCATAAAGTAGACGATTTGTATTTATTAGAAATTTCCATAAAATTTGTTGTATGCAATAATTTTTCCTCGATATTTCAGGTAATAATCCCAACGACGCCACTTTAGCAGCATCGCAAATTTCAGGAGGTGTTAGTTCCATGTAATCATCGTCTTTCATTTTTTTAATTGATAAACACTTAAAACGGGCTTAATATTTTAAGTTTAATTTCAAAAAAGAATCGGGAACAACGAATAACTGTCAACATGCTGTCAACTAACTTGTCAAACGCATATTAGATCTAATGATTTTTAATTCTAGTGGGGTATAATTGACAAAAATCGTGTAATATGAATATATTCTCACTGGTGATATATGGATTGCTTTATGTTGCCTTAGATACGCATATAATACATCCATATAATGACAGTTATAGATAAAATATTTTGTTACACTACTTAGCGCCAGTAAAATAACTGTAATATATTTTTTCCTCTAACTTCTTTTCTCAGTAGTTTTTAATCATCGAAAAACATAAACCACTTTATCCTACTTTTGTTGATAGGGACATATTCACAATTATTGTATATTCTTTCTCTCCTTTTATCTCTCTCTCTATTTCTCTCTCCTCACAATTCTCACCCTTCCCACTATTCTCACCCTCCCCACTCTCCTCCTTTTGTTAGTTCTCTATTCTTAACTATTGTCCTGAGTATTTTTCGAAGTTTTAACTAAAACTTTATAGGAGATGACATTTTCAGTTTCTCATGTGAATGTACGTTCTCATATACCACATCTCAATGATTTCAAAAACTATGTTGCATGGCGGAATTAGAAAGGAGTTAGTAAGTTTAAATTCCTATACATTAATTAGACAGGATCGCCCTACAAGCGGCGGTGGCGTGGGTATGTATTTAAAAAATAAATTTAAACTCCAGAAGATATATTCTGAGTGTAATGATGTTATTGAGTAGTTATGGGTTAAAATTATATTTCAAAACTTAGTAATTGCAGTAGGAACTGTTTATCGTCAGCCAAAGAGCAAAAATCTCAATTTTTTAAAATAAAATAGAAACTATGTTAGAAGATTTTTATTCTAATTTTGATCATGTAATTTCTTTGGTGACTTTAATATTAATATGCTAAATATACATGATAACCTAATGCTTAATTTCAGTAACATTTTTAACACTTTTAATTTAATTCAATTAATTAAAGAACCAACAAGGAATCCCTCATTGCTTGATATAAACGATTGAATGGAGTTAGTTGATTTAAATTTAGTTGCTGATCACGCAGGCATAAGTTGCATAATTAAGGTTAAAATTCAAGTCACATGCAACCCTAAAAAGATATTTTGTAGGTAACTCAATAAAATAAATTACAATAACTTTCAATATGACTTAAGTATGATGCTCTGGAAAGAAATTTATAATACAAACGGGATTAATAAAAAAATTTAACTTTTAAACGATAATATAATTACGGTTCTGAATGTACATGCCCCACTTAGGCCACGAATACAAAAAAAATCTACTACGACAATATTAAACTTTTACAAAACATTCGTGATAAAGCTCTATGAAAATTTAGGAGAACAAGGTCTCCCGAACATTGGTCTTACTATGAACAGCTTAGAAATTATGCTA